TGCGCTTTACGACGCATTTCGTAGCAACACACGTTGAAAAAAACGTAATGGCATGTTCGAAGGTCGACAAGTTCAATTTCGACTTAAAGTCAAATCCAGGCTTCGTGGAGGTGACGGGTAAACACAAGACGCATGCTGTGGATTTGAAAACGTGGAGCTGCACTTGCTCGTTTGCTTCTGCAATGCGTCTGCCTTGTCAACACGCGATCGCGTTTCGGAAGTGGAGTAACGCCCCAGGAAGCGTAATACCGCTGAGTTGCATCGATGAAAGGTGGGTTAACTCACAATTTATCCACGTATAAGCCGTGAGTTGTCCATGTAATATCCAATATTGATGTTGTACTGAAGGTCTGACATGTCATTCATTTAGATGGTTACATCCTGCTGAACAACCGATGACTCCGCGGCCTTTTGTGCTTAATGAGTTTAAACCAGGGGAGGCGAAACACAAGGTGCTTGACGCTAATGTTAAGTACAAGGAGGCAGTCAGCGCGTTCCAGGCTATATGCAGTGAGCTAGCCGATATCTCTGATGACGACGAGTACCGTGAGCATTTAGACTTCGTCGTGCAACAATGGAGGAGCATTAGGCACCGCAAACGTGTAAAGGTTGAAAAAACGAAGGTTCCAGTCACGAGACAAGAAACAGAAACAGATGAAATGACCTCTCCAGTGACAACCAGCCGAAATCGAACCGGAACCAAGCCCGAAATGGAGCAGCTTGCGCTTGAGACCACTCCTGATGACAACGAAGAGAAAAATACTGATAGTGGATTGCGCATCCGTCTGAACCCCAAAGCTGCGAAGTCTGGTAGGCCCCGGTTGAACAGAAAGGAGAGAGAAGCAGACGACAAGAAGAAACGAGCGTTGTTTAACGAGTCAGAAGCCCATAGAAGATGTCTTGGAGAGGTGACATTAATACAACTTGCGCGCAGTCTTCAACTTGAGAAGCCTCCACTTCAAGACACTCTACGTCGTGTTCTGCCACTCCAAACCAAGTACAACAACGCGGGTAGCAAGAAACCCAAGTACACTAGAGAGAGTGCGCCTGTGCTGAATGAAAACGCGTTCTATCTACTTCCACCCAAACTGTTGGACAAGTGCGTTGCCGTGCTGCCTGTGAGCAACACCAATGAAACAGCCATCGATGTACTCACCCAGAGTCAAACTACACAAAAAGACGAAGAAACATCTACAATACCTGGACAAATCATGGACAGCAACGGACAAAACCCGGAGATCGAGTGTGTCTACATCGCGGGTATCGGAACATTTTCACGCGAACAGATTGAGGCCATGGCATACTTAGCAAACGTGAAGCGTTCGTGTGATGATGGAATGGCGTTTACCAAATGGTTAATACAGGATGCAGCCAGCGCCATACCAGCAGCACAACAATCGACACTTCAGAGCATGGCAGAGGCCATTACTCGCGCCTATCCCCAAGATACCATCCCAATTGACGGCAACGATTACCACTACGCGATGCTGTACCGTCTCAAGCCGCCCCAATGGGCTAATGATGCGCTGATTTTGGCTTTTTGCGCGAGATTGTACAGGACGGGCACCGGCGTTCGCATCGTCGGTGTCGAGGCAGCCTCGGCGTCAAAGAAGAAGAAATCTATGAGTGAAAAAATGAAGACAAAGGTTCAGGAATTACTCACTGAAGCGGATGTACTGCTCATTCCTGTAAATTTTGGGAACATGCATTGGTGTGCAATGATCGTGGATGGCAAGCAGAACAATGTCCTGTACTACGACTCAGTGAACCTGAAGACGTACAAGGACGTACTGGACCGCATGTCGTGGGATCTGGCTACTACGCTCAGCGACGACTTCAAAGTTGTGTCCGTCAATGGACCGATCCAGACAGACGGATACAACTGCGGATTCTACGTAATGTTGAGGTTTTGGCGATATGTAGACAAGAGTGTGTCGCTGGACGTAACTCCGATTGGTCTAACGCTGTTACGCTTCCGCATCCTTCACTTCGTGCTTTACGGTAGCAAGCCATAATGCAACTAATACAATCTCATTTCTATTGAAACTGGAATCGACCCGCCTAATGTTCATGCGTATGGTTGACCTCCTGACTTCTGTATACCGGTATGTACGAGAGATGTCAGAGGACTTTCGTTTGCGAAGGTCTAACAACTTCCATTCACTATGGATTCTAAAAACAGTGGTAAGTAATTTATTTCGACACATGGACATTACATGGAGTATTACATGGAAAATAAACTGAGTCGACGCATGGACTGTAGCATCGGCCAAATAAGTTTCATAATCACATATTTTACATTTTATGCCCTCCCATCCGGAAATACCGCCAATAATCAGTATATATCAGGCGTTCCTTATTGACGCCCCATTCTGTATTGTGGGGTTCATCTATTTTGGCAAACGAGATCCACTGTTATATATCGGATCCGATTTGCTGAACGCCGTCGAAATAGAAAATAGGGGTAAGGTAATCTCGGGCCGGATATGTCGTTGGGCACATCGAATTAAAGGGGAAGTGCCAGAATTGCCGTCTTTGGACGGCATAAGTGATCTGCCCAAACTCATTTGCTAGAACACTTCCAGTCTAACCGCCATAGGAGAATATAGCACTCTTTTACTCGGCAATCGCGCTACAGTATGCATACGTTTAGTGTTTATCTCTTCTTTAATAAGTAAAACTGAGTTGTGGGTGGTAAGGTCGTCTGGAGATGACGTCGCCCTCATCATTAAGACCTTAAGTAGGGTCACATATAGCTAATTCAAGACTTATTACCCTACACCCTGCCCAATTTATTTAAATCGGCCCCCCCCACAGCAAATCGGGCGGCAAAATTGATGAAAACCACAATACGTGGTCCTTAATATGCTTCAGAATGAAGTACGTACATACAGTCCAAAAAGCTTTAATTCGCCACGTAAAATGTGTGTCGTACACCACGCAAAACTATTCATTACTTAAGCTAGACAGCTTATAAAAAGAACGCGTACCATAAGATGATCGCAGGTATCAAACTATAAAGCTTTGCCCTAATAGTCCAGAATAGTTCGCCAAATCAGAACAAACGTCGATCGCTTTTACAAGGGCATTTATTGAATCAGGGTTGGATGAGGAGTTTTATTCTACAGTCGCCGAACAGTTCGCTCATGCTGAATTCGTTCGGTGATCGCGGAGGTAGGACAAGAAGCCGGACGCTTAGCTCGAGTAACATGAATAGGGGGGGGGGGGTAGAATTGGTTTGCAAGCTGTACGCCAAGACCAGGCAGTCGCCGGTGATTGATATGAAGTCAGAATACTACTTGTGGATTTGAAATGACAGATCACTAGTTCCCGGTTGATGCTGGATGTTTGCATCGCGTAACGTGATATTATTGGACCTTACATTGCAGATTCACGCCACTTTTCACTACTGGTACAGGATTGGGCTTCCCTTAAATGTTGTATTACTCTACCGAATTGAACATATATCTTTAAGCGCTACCAGCCCAATCCTCTAGTTAATAAATGATCGATCCGACTGAGTCTCCGTGATACGGTAATCATATATGGGAGTCTGCCAGTGGCAGTTCCTTTTCTATCGATTTAATTTGACCAATTGGCGATTTGTTTCTTTTATTATGTGGAAAAAGTCAAACATACACATATCGACGGAAGATATGGCCTATACAGTCGTGCACCTCCAATTCGGCAGGGCGGACCATATCAACAGTGCCAGGGCATAAGTGCACAACGTAAAGCAAAAAACAAACGCAAATTCAGTGCGCTGATATTTTATTTGTTAATTCAGTACAAAATTAACGCCAATCTTCTGCATAATCTTGGCGTCAGACGCGCGAATCGCGGGCTCACAACAGCGCTTCCGGTCGCGATAGGCGTCCGGCAAGGCGGCAACTGCCGCCAAGCTAAAGAAACTCTGGACGGTAGTGCGCTTTACTGCTTGGGGGGTCTTAAAGAGCTCCGTTGCCCAACGAGCAAGTTCGGAGTGAGAGCATGCAGATCTGATCGCACAAAGACTGCTTTTGTGGGACATGTAGGAGGAAGGGCGATGTCCCATTGTGTTTGGCGGTAAAAATCAAAGTGTGTGTTTGTATGAAGACGTCCGATCCAAAATTTAAAATCAGATCGATGCGGCGTGTCATCCCTCGGCGAGGAGGGGAAAATCGTTGAGGTTAATTGCTAGGGTGGTGATGGGCAAAGGTAATTGCGCATCCGATTCGCGTAATCATTAAATCTAGCAGGGTATCGACTGATACCGGTGCCGAATTAGAGGTGCACGACTGTACGATGCTTAACTTAAGCAGTAGACATTAAGCCTTAAGGTCTACTCCAATCTTCAGCAAATCATCTTTACAGTTTTACATTAAAAATTGTAATGGCCGTAACCCATTTCGATCACAATTGTCCGCATCTATATTCCTAGGCCATATCTTCCGTCGATACGTGTACATTAATAATAGCGGGGGCGTCTAAACTGTAGTTGTAGCAGCAGTGGCACTGCTGTGCTGCTGCCAGTGCTGCTATTAAAACAAATACTGCAGCTGCAGCACTGTAGTACCGTATACCTTCTCTGATTGACGACAATTATATTCTTGAAGTGAATGCTGCATATCACAAAAACGTTCCTTCGATAAGTTGATCAGGTTTTTCCTTGCCCTTACTAAGGCACATAAAACAACAATGGTACAAATTTAGAGTGTCCTGATTGGCTAAATCTACTACAGAACAAAATTGGGAGTGTACTGATTGGCTTTTTAAATTGTCATTAATGAGTGAACGTAAAGTCCAGTACAATATGATATTCGGATATTGAATATCCGATAGGTAACAGGATCGTGCAAACATACGAGATGGGGTACTTCCAAATTGCGCCGCAATCACCGCTGTCTCTTGAAAAGGAGATCAACAGATCACCACTACTGTATCCACCAATAACGCTCGTTTGCAGGCAGTAGCAGCAATCAAATGCTGCATCACTCTCCGATTTCCTCTAGTGCACCCGCATGAAGTTTACTGTCGTCATTGCTACTGCTGCCACCGCTGTCGCGGCCTTGCCGGTCTTCGCCGAAGAGGAATTTTGTGGCCAATGGAGCTCCACGCAGACGGCCGACTACATCATCTTTAACAATTTGTGGGGACAAGACAACGACAAGGCTGGCGGTCAATGCACAGGTCTCGACAGCGTCGACGGTTCTACCATCGCCTGGCACACGAGCTTCAACTGGGCCGGCGATAACTGGCAGGTTAAGTCGTTCGCCAATGCCGCGCTCAAGTTCGCCCCAGTGCAAATTTCGAGCGTTGCGTCGATCCCCTCGACTATTGAGTACGATTACAAGTACGACGGTAACATCATCACGAACGTGGCGTATGATCTGTTCACTAGCGCAACCGCAAACGGCACCGTCGAGTACGAGCTAATGGTCTGGCTGGCTGCGCTTGGTGGCGCTTGGCCTCTCACTACGACGGGAAAGCCTATTAAGGAGGTGAAGGTTGGCAGCGTCGACTTCAATCTGTACCAGGGCAAGAACGGCAATACCACGGTCTTCTCGTACGTTGCGGTTAACACGACCAAGAGCTTCACGGCAGACTTCAAGCAGTTCTTCGATGAGCTGCCAGCTGACAATGCAATCGCGTCGACCCAGTATCTGACCCAGGTGCAGGCTGGCACGGAGCCGTTCCAGGGCAAAAACGCCACTCTGACCGTGTCGAAATACTCGGCAGCAGTCAATTCGTGATTAGATGCGGCTCTTTCTGTTATACTGCATGAGTGAAAATAATACGAAATCATTTTGAACTACGCCTAGCTTCTAAAATTGAGATTGGGTTTGTCACCTACGAAGTACGCGGTTTAATCGTCCTCAATCCCATCTTCCGTGGACAACAATACTTATTAATAGTGTTCCTGCGTTGACTGCGATCTCTGCTCTCTCCTTTGCACTTTGAGCCCAACGCTTTGTTAAGGAAGAAGGAATATTAATGCATAATACGTCCTAAACTTGTCTTTAAAATTACATTAAAAACGGTAATTCCGGCGAACAGATGCAATAATTCCGTACAAGTAATAATTAGAAAATCTCTCGTTAAAGACAGGTCTAACTTTAGGACAAATAGGACGTTTTAGGACTCGATTAGGACGTATAACTTCGACAATATAAAGTTCTTGGTCTAAGTTGTTTGATGTCTTGATTTCGTGCCCTTAAGTTGTTTGGTGTCCCAATATATAAAGTTTTAAGAGCTCTTGTTTGGTGCCTCTATCCTTGACCTTTGAGTTTTGCTGCCAGAGTTAATATCGACCGTGAAGCGATTTTATCTGGTGTCCTGGCACAAGACGTTGATTTGCTAGGAAGAGACTGATCAAGCAGTGTACAGACAACGACGGTTAAATCCGCCATACCTTTGAAACACACCCGAGTCCAAACATGGTTTTCCCAATGAAACTAGTTTCAGCCAATCCGTATGCCGTATTCAAGCGTTATGCAATCAACCTGATTCCTGTTTGGGTTTTGTAAATTTTGGATTTGTTTTCGTACTTTGTGTTCTGACTTTGAGCTGGAGCTGCTACTTTCAACCAATCAAATAACTGGGCGGGTATTCCTGTCGCGCGTAATAATTTTATTTTATACTACGTAGTAGTGTTCAGACACCGGGCGGATTATTTGAAGTACGTCCTCGTTGATAAGCACTTCACAGAACCCTCGATGTATAAAACAGTATTTCCGGACGTCACTATCCTGCTCTGCTAGTTTCATGCCCTAAGATACTTGAGGGAGGAGATTGCATCATGTGACTACGGTTGCAACACACTTGAAAAAGATCAGCTTTGAGGCCTCATGTGTCAGCTTCTAAGGACATTGAGGAATGACATTAAATGATGAGGATGGGTGCATCTAGGGTCATCAAGGGTCTCTGACCTTCTTCCCAGCTAGGTGATGAGTTAAATCTGGTCCGGTTCTAGCGACACTTCCCCGCAGCTCGTCATCAGACTGCTGGAAGAGAAGTTCTATCTTGGGGCAGTGTTCATGAGGCGCGTAGTTCCGAGAGCCTTGGCAAGACCATCAGCAAGCATGATAGGTTTTGGGCGATATTCGAGAGTGACGCTGCCATCGTCGTAAGCATCTTAAATTGAGTGCAACATCACATCAATTGTCTTTTTTAGCTTCGGGTGTCTTCCCATTCGTGATGTGGTGAATTGGCGACTTTTTACATTACTTTCGGGTTGTCCCCCTTGCATACAATCCTTTTATGCCACAAGTAGCTACTGGAGGTGTAGTAGCTGTCCGAGTTGACAATGCGGCCAGTGCCATATAGCGGTCGAGCTATTTACAGTACACACTGTCGGATTGACTAAGATACTGCAAGCTCATCGCTCAGGGCTTGGGCTTCTGCTTCCGTCGTCATTCCAGCTAGCCGCTCGGTAACGTCACTTTGGCAGAGAAGTCGAAAGTTCAACGATATCCAGGTCGTAGAACGACAGAGCATTTAGATGCGAAAATGATACTTTCTGGTAGGCTTCATAGGATTGTACACAATGAGCGGCTTGCCATACTTCGACCGGCACGCGACGCTATCTTCGTCCAAAGCAACATTTCGCCCCCACCTCCACGTACTTGAAGCCAGTCGTCTTGAAAAGATTGAGGAGAGGCCTAATTCTTGCTGCCTGGTCATGATTGCCAATGCACACTTCCGGCAACACGATGTCCTCGATAATTAGGATTGCGTTCGCGAAACCTCTCGCCAAGCCGTTTTTGCTGATCGCAGTACTGTGGCGGCCGTGTGGTACGATAGCTCCAACGCTACTATTATCGCTAATGCAGACGCGTCAACGGTGACTACTGTGACTCGCCATGTCCGCTCCGAAAAGCGACCTTTCAGCGCCCCGATATGCGTCAAAGAATATAACATGAACATGCAGGGCGTTGACAGGCTCGACCAAGTTAGAGGGAGGTTCTTTTTGGCGGATGAGCATTCCTTCAAGAAGTGGTTTAAAAGCTCGGTCTAACGCTCGTAATTGTCGGTCGCTTTAATGCGTACTTCACTTGCAAGTTGGCACTCGGAGTCACCAATGGCTGTGACTCTCATCGTGATTTCGTCGTTCAACTCAGCTCGGAATTGCTGTCGGAAAAGTGGAAAGCGGCTCCTCACGTTTACCATGAACGTAAATTCGCTGGATGCACCTTCCACTGTGGTCGAAGACATGTCACCATCAAGTGCAGTATAGTTTGCCGGAAGTCACGATGCCGACGGAGGACTTGGTAGTCCCCAGAAGCGTTGCTCCCCGATTGCCTCGAAACAGCTAAATCCTGAATTTAATCGGAACCGGCGACAATGTGTAGTATATAGGTGGGAGGACAGATAGGCGATGGAGGAGACCGACTTCTGCGTTTTTCACAGCGTTTGTCTTTGACAGCACGTGGTAATTGCCACCAAGCCTTACATGTTCCCAAAGCCAACGTGGACCAGCTGGGAGAGGTATCATCAATTTTACTTTCCGCGTAACCTATTCTCGTCAAAAGGCAAGTGTGCAAAAGTTCACACCTGTACAAGCTGAATAATGAGACCATGAATCAGCGTAATTTGAGCCCCGGAGAAGTTGCATAGTCTGGAACCCGCCAAAGCGTTTTGCGGTCGATCAATTGTAAATATTAACAAGCTCGTAAACATCTAGAAGCTAGAATGGTAATTACTGAAACCTGAAAGTGTCGAAGTGTGAAGTTGTCTTGATTAAATTAAAGTAATTAGCATATCAATAACTTTGGAATGAGCGATAAAAGTATGCACGCTGTGACTCGGCTTTCCATCTACAAACAATCACAGCTTTCTTGAAAACCTCAAAGGAAGAGCAAAACGCAGCAAATCAAGGTTCGCGGTGGCGTAGGCATATGGGAGCTGTGCAAATTACGAGACGCGCTCGAAGCAGCCCTTCAAGGTCACACTTCACGAACTCGGTGGTGACGCCCTCGAACAAAATGTTGTTCCAAAAGACGATCGTAGCTTGTGCGTACGGCTCCACCCGCGATAAGGAAAGCCCAGTGATGTCCTTCCAAATGAGCTCTACTCGTTCATCGATACGTCGGACATAGGGGCTCCTCGCAATCATATCCACGTCAATATTCTGCACATCTTCGCGAGCTTCGATCCCTATAGCTATTGACACGTTGGTCGCAAGCACTACTTGAATGACAACATTGCCGAGTCCAGCACTGATATAAAAACATGTCACATCCGCTGATGTCACCAAGTTTTTTGCCATAGTGTCATCACGCCCGGCGGCAGCACTTCTCCGACATTCAGGTGAGAGCTGCCGCCCGTGTAGGCGACCACAGCACATGGCAACCCGCAAAACTTGCAGTAACAGCTTTCTTAGCATCCGATGAGCACAGGACTGGCGCCGGTGGCACCGGATGTGCAGCCGTCGCCGTTACCGTCTAGATAAAATTTGGAATTGGAAGTTGCGGCTTTGAGAGCGTCGTTCCGGCTTCTGTTGGGCGTCTTCCTGGCGTCACGAATGTTTGTCTAGCCTCGAAGCGCGAAACCGTAGCGTTTCGTGCAGCTGTTCGTGCAGCTGCTCGTGCAGCGCGTGCCACCGCAGCTTCTGGTGGTCGGGACAGTATCGCTGCCGGAACTGCTGCCCTACTTGAGATAATTAAGTCAATGCTGCGCGTGCTGCTTCACGTGCCGCTCCAGTCCCTGCGCCAGATTTTGGTGGTGGCCGCGATCCTGCGAACGATGCGGGCGGAGTAGCTGCATCTTCCGGTGGCAGTAGCCGCCTTCGTGCTAGACTGGACGATATGGTCCGGACTGCTGCGCTACCGCAGGAGGGCGACCGCGTGGGCGATGAACTCGTGTGAAGAAATTAGCAGGAAATCGCGCAATTTCTGGACCCCTTGTACAATACATAGCCTGGAGGCGTTGACGCAGCACGACCGCCGTGTGCTTCGTCGATCTGATGAGGCGGGCAGCGTCATTCCACGGGATCCTCGTTGCTCCGTCGATGTATCCTTGGGCACGCTGGACAAGCCGCTTGTCGCTGTCGTATGTGAGCGTTGTTTGCATGTCAGCACAAAAGCGGCAATGTCAGTGAATGTTGTGAGACTCTTGGTTTTCGTATGGAAATGACTGAGGTCCAGTCATTCATTACAGGAGCAAAATTACAGAGGGTGATGAGCGGTGTCATTTTTGTAATTATGGTGACGCATCTCGGACTAATTAATAAGTGCATACATTGAGACTTAATTGCATATCTTTCAGTGGTGTACGTCACATCTGGTAAAGTATGTAGCGGGTAGGGAACCCAGAACTCGACGTGATTAATAGTTACAAAACACGGTGGTGCGTTAGTTGAACTTCTGTCAATAGGAACATTTTGCCCCCCCCCCTTGGTGAACGATTCTCTCACAGGGGGCAAAATGCACCTGTTGACCACGAAAGGGTAATTTAGAAAAATTATGTTGCTTATCATATTTAATTTCGAAAAGCCTACTATTACTATAAAAATATAATATGAAATTTGGTTACCATTAGCCGCTCTTTAATTTTAGGGTTTCGATAATGCGCGAGTTGGAACATGACCAGCTATGTTGAAGTAACCCGCAATCGTAAAACTTCATGGTAAAGATCAGTAGTTGGTCTTCACATTATTAAAGCAAGAAGTTCACTCAGTCAGCAGTTTCCAATCTCCCGTCAAACCCCTCCGTCCCAGCAGCAATGAAGCTCCTAATCACCATAGCCGCCGCCA